GCTTGGGCTGGCGTTGCAGTCAAGTGGGGCTGGCCGGCTTTTTTAAGTGGCTAAGAATCCATGATATTCAAAAAAATTCTGCAGCTATCATAAACCATCTCGGGTAGTCTATTTGAGTAGGCTTTTCACGCCTTCAGCTATTTGCTTGACCACAACAACAATTTCTAAACGCGCATTGCCCACTGCGGCTGTGTCTGTGTGTGTGTGTGTGTGTGTGGATGTGTGTGCTATTTTGTATGCTCTATACATACATCTATAAGTAGGCATTGGCGGCATTCGCCCGCTGGGTAGCTCCTGTTCCCATAGATGGCATCTGCACAGCAACAAGCCCAAGTTGCCTTTTGATATGCAAAATAAAATTGTGCACAGCGATTTTAATAAATATGCCATACACACACAGTCAGACACACACACACACATAGATGTAGGCGAACTCCCCGAGAAGGACCCATGCGTCGCTGATGCCTAAGATGAGCAGCTTATTGAATTTTTCAGAAGCCCTTTTCTGACCCTCCCACGACAGCGCTTAAAGCAGTTCTGTTTTCAGAGGCTTAAATGCTTTAAGTCGTTTGCTCTACTTAACTAGTCATGAATAACTCATATGAAAATTATAATATTATATATGCTAGTTGGCATACAGCTCATGACGTGCCTTACATGATTTTGACATATTCTATTTATGTTTAATAGTCTCCTTGTGCTTATTTAACCTTATTTTGTATTTGATACTTATGCTTGGAATACAGTTCATATGTTTTGCACAATATTAATATATGTCATTTATGTTTAATTGACGTGTTTCATAAGCTCTTTATGTTTTAGGCTTATTAGGTTCCCCTTCCTCAAATGTTTATGCTCAATATACTGCGCACATTGTCTAAGTTAGTCGAGATGTTTCGTAATCTCTCAATATTTTGTGGTGCTTGAGCAGAGCTTTTCATATTACATCAGCTTCGAATGCTTCACGTTGAGTGACACTAAAAACATAATACCCATACTATCTCTTTTTTATACCACGAAGATATTTTATTTGCGTCGCAGACATTGCGCGCTTTGGCTTTGTTTGCCTTAAACTGGGGGTTACAAAATGGGACAAACCAGAAGAATGTACGATGTATGTGTATATGTATATATATATCTAAAAATAGCTTCGCATCTGTGGTGCTTCGCTCAGTTCTATATAGCACCCATTCAGTCACGTCTCCCCTACCTCAACTCTGATTATAATTGCTGAAAAGCACGTTCTCTGTCTATTGAGATTGAGTTATGTAAATACTCCAAGTGTGTGAGTATATCTATATGAAGCCATCGATTTGGCAGCGATTGTGGACAGATTTCAAGGAACAATCAGCCAACAAAGCGTTAAGCAGCTTAATGAACACACCTAGCATATTTTGATACCTTGAGCCAGCATTACATTTGCATTAGCTCGATGCCAATTCGACAGCTCAATAATGTTAATCAGAGGCTAAAGTCAGCCACTTGACTTTAAAGCGCATTTCATTTGCAGCTGATGGAAAAGAGAAACAATTTGTATATTTCGTATTTTTGTTTTATGCGTCCTGCTGCAGTCAAGTTTATGATAAACTTGGTGCAACGGCGCATAAACTTTATTGGCCATAGTGCGAAAAGGGAAAAACACTCAACAAACCAACCAAAAGTCAAAAGGCCACCATAAACCACAGCCAGCCAGCCAGGCAGACAGACAGGCAGGCAGGCAAGCAGGCAGGCAACCAGCTAACCAAACCGAGCCAGCCAGTCATTAAGCTCTGGCCCGCACTGCGAACCAATCTGCAACCTTCAACCACTTCACGACGCGTTATCATCAACAACAACAATAAAGCGAATTTCACTTACAACAAAAAAAAGTCGATCGTTAAATCAAAAAGGCGCATTCGAGTGCCTGCAACATCATTAGTTGCAGTTCATACACACTCAAGCGCAAGTTATGGCGCAGATAGCTACCCTCAACCAAATCCCCATGGGTATACCACAAGCAGCATACCCCCGAAGCCCCACAGCCGCACAGCCCCAACAGCCTCCAAACTCAGTCGCCAGCTCACGCGCGCTTTTTGTGTGAGGTGTCCAAATTAAATTTGCATCAGTTGCTCGACGAGCATCTAAATGATGCCAAAAAATATGAGCGTTCGAGTGCGTGTGTGTGTGTGTAATTTGTGTCTGTGTGCGGGCGGGGTGTGTGTGTGTCTGCAGCATAAAGCCAAACAGCAACAACAACAAGTGCAATACTCACTTTGGCGCTTTTTGCATGTTGCTTTTTTTTTCGTCTGTGTGCGTGTGTGTGTGTTAACTTTTTCTATACCCTGTACATGAGAGCACTTGAAAATAGGTTTCTTAGTGCTAACGACTCTGTCAGTCAAGAGGCAAGCATATAGATTTTTTGCCAGAAAAAAAGAAATTATCTTTAATCTATATTTTTATGCACTTCAAGTTTTTTTTTAAAGGGTATCCACCAGCTGTTCACTTGGCAAGCACATGGCAAAAAACGGATGTGTGCATCTGTCTCCCACCTGTTCTTCTCCCACTCTCTCTCTCTCTCTCTCTTTCTCTCGCTCTCTTTATCTGTGTGTGTGGGCACTTAAATAATTTAGATTTTTGTGTCTAACATGCACAAGTGCCACAACGGCCTAAAAGATTCAAGTGCAACGGCAACGGCAACGGCAGCAGCAGCTGCTGCCAAAGTGAGTGACCCAGTTAGTGAGAGATACAGTTGTGGCACAGAGGGGGCAGAGCACGGACAGGCCCAGTTGTTGGGCGTGAAGCGACAGTGGCAACGAGCTAAATTGAGAAGCAGCCGCGCACGTTGAATTCTAAGTGTCGCTGTTACCTGTGTCTCTCGCTGCGTCTCGGCTCTGACATTATGCGCTCATTAAAATGTCAAATAAATTCAAATGCAAAAATATGCATTTTACTTTGGAATGCCAGCAAGTGTTGCACTTGAAAAAGCAAAAATAGTGCGAGAACCTGAAGAATGATAATGCACGAGTCACTGGAATTTGTGCGCGGTCGAGCGTGCTTACTGTGTATGTGTGCGTGTGTGGGTGTGCGACTGTGTGTGTGTGGCTGTGAGCGTATCATGCATATATCCACCATATATATTCATAAATCAGAGTGTGAAGTGTGAACTTTGAACTTTGGATAAACGGTCAATGAAATCTCAGACATTTCTCAACAGACTGCATAAAATATTTTTGTAATCTCAAGTAAGGCGTATAAATCTGTGAATATTTGAAATAGAAAAGAAAGGGTCTGCCTGAAGGCCTTTGTCGCTCTGGCTTAAAACTTGTTATTTAGAATTTAATTCTATGTAACAATAAATAAATAAATGTGAATATTTGACTTTTGTTTTTCGAAAGAGTAAAAATTGATATAGTAAATAAATAGCTTAATAAAAAGTAGACATATGGGTATTATACACATAAAATTATTATGCAGCCTTAATTTGTTAATTAATTTTAAATTTTACTTTTATTAATTATTACAAAATAAAAAATTTTTGCCTTTGAAACATAGCGTTAATGAAAATCAAGATTAATCAATAATATATGATATACATAAGCTATTAAATGATTTATTCTTTGCATAAAAAAAAAAAAAAGTCTCAAACGTGCAGTTCATATAAATATAAGTATAAGTATATATAAGGTATTAAAAAAATTATATTTAAATAATTCTAGGGAAATATGAACATTTTATTTTCTAAATGAAGTATGTGCATGTATATGTTAAAGAAATAATTATACGGCGAAAAAACTTTTATAGAAATAGTTGTAATTATTTTTATAATTCTTATCACTCCTTTCACTACTCCTCTCACCTAAATATAGATCAGGCCTCTTGAATCGGTTCCATAAAAACCGCCACCGGCTGTTAAGAATTTTAGATTTCGTTGACAAAAATAATATAAACTGTTGTTTTCGGCGCTTTGCACGTTTTCTATTGCGCTCATTAACTGTAATTTCAGAGTTGTAAAGTTGCTTTTTTTTTGTGTTTCTTTTTTTTATGACTATTTGGCAAACGCGTGAAAGGAATGCGAAGCGAGTTCTGTTTTATGTGCACTTCCGGCCACAAGGCCATTAAAGCGCTCGTTTATTTTAATTAAAAACAATTTCCGTTGTTTAGCTAAAGAGCAGAGAGCACGGAACACGGCGCAGAGAGAGTGAAGAAAATCGTTTGATTGTTGGTCTACAATGCTTTTTATAATTATTATAACGAGCATTTTCCGCCAATGGGTAACTGCTGCATTCTATTGGCCATTGTCTTTCAGCCAAGTCGTCATTTCAGCTGTCTGCAAATTGAGCTCAAGTACACACGCTACACACACACACACACACACACACATACACACTCATCTCACATGTGAACAATCTTCTTTTGACTTTTCTCACATGCTCCAGCACTTGAGCTCTGGGCATTGAGTGGCATTTAATTAATTTGCTTTCAATGCACTCGGCTTTTGTTTCGGGATCCTATGCATGTGGCTGTTAGACTTAAGTGCCCTTTTTTTTTGTATACCCATTAATAATGGATCAAAAGGGTATATTGTTTGGGTATATGAAAGTATGTATCATACACAGCAGAAGCTGTAATCGGGTCAATTTATCCATCTCTATAGAGGGACATGAAAACGTTCATACATCTACGGATTGATGATCTGATTTAATCAGATCTAAAGACTTGGTTTTTTTTTGTGGATAGTTCGAGCTATAAACCATTTTGAGTTGAGGTTCCCTAAAAATGTGAGAGTCAGGGTATCTCTTAGTCGTTTACTCCCCACTAAAACATTTTCATTGGCTTTTTTTTTCCATTTGACAGAGACTAAGCTGTAAATGAAGTTTTGTAGGCATACAATTCAATCAACAATTGCGGCATTTGCTTATTCAATTCTCGACGCTTGCTTCTTGCTTCTCGCTTCTTGCTTTTCAATTTATCAATTTCTCAATTTTCAATGTTTCTCTCGGTTTTCTCTTTCTCCTTTGCAGCTGATGGTCTCATAGACAACGACTTGTTGCCCTCCATTGCGGCTGTGGATGATGTATATATCGCCTCCTTGGTCAATGGCCATGGCCACAGCCACAATATGAATGAGAATGGGAATGGGAATGGAAACGGGAACGGCAACCATCATTTGCACCACAACAATGTGGCGCAGTTTGACAATGGCCTGGATGAGCTGGCCGATGACCAAGTGGATGAGACAACCTATCCGCCGCCGGTCTTTGATTTTGGCATGCCACGGAATATTACCGCCCGGACAGGACACACAGCGGCCATCAATTGCCGAGTGGAGAATCTGCGCGATAAATCGGTGAGTCAAGAGGCTTCGCCATTGTGTGTGGTTGCTTATCTTAAAATGCGTTTTTTTTTTCGTATATTTTATGCAGTTTTAACTAGCGCTCAGGCAAATATTGACCTTGCCGGGGACTAGTCAAGCTGAAAATCAAGTTACCGCCAAAGTCCACAAAATCGACAAAGTCGCCAAAGTTGGATTTTTTTTGTGTTCGCTAGAGTTTCTTCTTTTTTTTGTCAGTTTGTTCAGCTACTCGTATCGTTTTCCGGTTCCGCTTTCATTGTCCGCTTTCCCCATCATCTTTCATCAACTGCTATTTTTTTTTTTTTTTTTTTTGTAATTTTCTAGCTTGGATGTCCTTTGCCCCCAACTCTGTGCTGTTTACTGCTTTGTCGAGTCCTTTGGCATGGGCCGCCCCCGCTTCAGAAAAAGTTTAGTTGATGCTTTTGCATTGTGTTTCATCTTCCGCGACTCTCTGTTTTTTCTCTTAATTTCGCTTCGTTTCTTTTTTTTGCTGCTCTCATATCTATTGATTGCTCTGCGCTGCTTCATCAACTTTAAAGTTTATTTCACTGCGTTTTTCTTTCGCTTTACAACATTGTTCAATTTTTCTATTTTTTTTTATGCTTTTCTCTTGTGGCTTCTCCCCAAGTTGAGCTTGTTTGTTTGCTGTGAAATATTTTTGCTGTGTATAGAAATAAGTGCCAATCAATTAATGCCGAGCTCTTTCCTTATTCGAGGTAGAAAATTAGGTTTTTCTTTTTGCAGTTGGAAAAAAAAAAAGAAAAGGAAAAAGAAAAACGCAAAAATATAGTTATAAATATAATGAATAAAGATATAAATTGCGGTTAAATTATTTATAGAGTAAAGTAAAGCAGCTATTTTGAAAGGGTTTCGCAAATATGTAAATAAATAAGTTTTTGTATTTTCAAAAAATTATTTAGAATTTTGTATATCTATGCAAATGTTAAGACGCTGAAAATTTAGAGTCCTTAATTTGCGGGTTATAAAAATTAGTTAGCATATATTTATTTATTTATTTGTTTTGAAATATATTAGTTGATATTGACATATATTTTTATAGAAATCAATCAAACATTTTTCTAGTTGTCATTTAAGCCATGTAACTTGTTTCTCATAAAATAGTTAAGATTTCGATCCATTTTTCTGATGCTAATTTAAGGAATTTTCTTTTGAAACATCCCAAATTAGTATTCCACTAGTAACAACTTCTAAACCCTTTAATACTACACTCGAAACTTTGCTGCTTTTGTGTGTTGAAGTTGGTTTTCGAAGAGCTATTGCATCATTAATCTGAACTAGTTGCAAGGTCAGTTTCGTAGAAAGTTTTCAGCTTAACCTCAATGAATGCTTAGCATCTGCTTTTTTTTTTTTTTTTTTTTTTGGTTGTTGTTGTTTGTTTGTGTTACAGTTTCCTAGTTTTTCCGTTTGTCACCTTGCGCTGCGGCGTTTTCCGAGAGAGCAGTCACTAAATCTATCATTGCGAGCGGCTCTGCTTTGCATAGCTTTGCTCAGCTTTGCCTTTTCGGTTTCGACTTTTTTGCACCTTCGCCAAGACCCATCAAACGAATCCGCACCCAGCTCATCATCATCCAGCGAGATTTAGGAGCACCTTTCTTTCTGTTTTGCCTTCCGCTTTTCTTCTCATTTTTTTTCTTTATTTGGTTTCCTTTTGCCACTTTGACACTTTTAGTTTGGGCTTCAGTTTTTCGTGTTTCATTTTTTGTTTTTGGGGCCCTTTTTCTTTTTTTTCTTTAGATGAACAAAAAGTTTTGGTTGCCTGCGGCAGGTTTGCAGATTACTTTTTGGCTGCTTTAGCGGAATGGCGACTGGTGGGGAAGGGCGACAGCTATAGCCACCGTTTCTCGAAGGCTTCGGTAACTTTAAGCTGCTGACATTTTGGGCACGCACTTCATTCCTCGTCCTGCTGCCGAATGCTGCCTGGCTGCAGGTCTGCTCGCAAATCGCTTTGTCTGCAGCCGCTGCCACTGCTGCTGCTGCTTCTGTATTTGCTAAAGTTTTTTAGTTTTTCTCCATTTTGTTTCTTTGTTGGTTTTATTATATATATTTCTCTCTTTTTTGTTGTTGTTGTACAGCTCTTAGTTCATTTTGTCGTTTGGTTTATTAAATTTTCTATCTTTATTTTGGCCAGGTCCCCTTTGGCCAGGGCCAAAGCAATTTTTAAAATTGACTTAAGCGCTCATTGTTCTCTTGTCTCGCTCACTCCTTTTATATGTATGTGTGTGTCTTTTGTCTATTTGCAGGTATCTTGGATAAGGAAACGCGATTTGCACATTCTGACTGCAGGCATTCTGACCTACACTTCTGATGAGCGCTTCAAGGTGCGTATACGTAATCTACTTGGTGTACCCAACTACCATCACTTGCTCTCTCTCTCTCTCTTACGCCCCGCCTGGCTTATTAAATGAGGCCAGGGGTGGGTGGGTGGTCGGACTGAACCATTTGTAAGCCAAGTCAGCTTAATTGCGTATGCATTTCGTTGCTACTCACCTGCGTGCCTGGCTTGTATGCATTGATTAAATTTCGCCCAAGGACACTGCCAAAAGGCAGGCTCAGCTAAAAGCTGCTCTAACAGCCCCACACCCAGCCCCACCTCATCATCTAACTTTGCGCACCGCCTGACATTGCCTTAACGATTTATCTATGCATTTTGGCTTGCAGGTCGTACGCACCGCCGACTCGAAGGATTGGACATTGCATGTGAAATATGCGCAGCCACGTGACAGCGGCATCTACGAGTGCCAGGTGAATACGGAACCAAAGATTTCGATGGCATTTCGCTTGAATGTTATAGGTGAGTAAGCCCGCCCCTCTCCCTTTCTCTCTCCCTCTCTATGCCATTTGCTCTGCACATTGTAATAAACACCCATTCGGAGTTCTTATGCATTGTCAACGAGTTGTCCTCGCACGACTTCCAACGGGCAACTGGCAACTGGCAACTGGCAACTGACAACTTTTTGTTGTACGCTGGCCCAGCCATTGGGGAGAGAGTCTTTCAAATTGTTGGCAAACTTCGTCAGCTGCATTTGGTGGGAACTTTGCATAAAGTTTTTGTTAGTCATGCGTCATGTTGCGACATCATGTCGCAATGCAGCGTGTAAATATGTACCATAAGCCAATTTCTCCAGCAGCAAATACACCCAGACACCCACACACTTACACATGAGTGCGTGTTTGTATATGTATGTACATACTCGACATGTAAACATGCGACTTTAAGGACTTCTTTTATGAGCCATAAAAATGTATGCGTTAAAATTAAAGCGACTTTCAAGCGTTGGCTTGGCGTCTTCAATAACAAATACATCAATATATTGATAAAAAATAAGAAAGGCGAAGACGAAGAAGAAGAAGCAGAAGCAGAGAGCACATATGCTCATAAATATTATAGCGGACTTTGTTTGCCATTAAGCAGATATTAAAATATTTATATTATTTTTAAGAAATTGCGCGTTTTTATAATGCAGCAAAGCCAGCTTTATAATCGATTTGTAAATGGAATTTATTTCAAATTTAATTCATAATAAATTTCTGAGTTGTTTGTGTCATTGGATGCAATATGTATAGAGTCTTCATTTTGTAAGTTTAATGTTTAAATTTGCTATTTAATGTGCAAAATTCGCTTGATTTGATGGCAGTCTTGAAAAAGTTAAGAAGGCCTTTGAAGCTATTGTTGAGCTATCGAGATTTTTCGAATAGCTTTAAATTATTAAACGATTGAATTTACTTAGTGATTAGTTTATTAGCGATTATTTGAGTTTACAGAGTTTATGTGATAGACGCGAGCAAGCGACTAGGCTGTCGTGCTGTCCGCTACTATGTTTGTAATAGTCAATCTAACACAGCATCTGCTCTAAACAAGAGTTAATTGCATACTAACTACAATGTACGCGAGCCGGCGGATTAAGCTGAGCCGGTGCGTGGGTGAAAGAGACAACGCAAAAGGGAGAGCGTGATCTCCGTTACAAATTCTCTTACATGATAACATATTCTATGAACTGCCGCTCTTAATTACAATGAAGCGATGATTGCTGAGCCCAACATCCTCCCCCCGTTGAAGACTTAGTCTTCAACAGAATCCTTAAGGGGCAGCAAGCACAGCTTATTTGTAGCTCTTCTTATCTCGCCAGCTTCTGTTTTTAGTAGGGCTACCCGTGCAACGCCATCACTTCCAGGGATAAGTTCGATTATTCTGGCTAGTGGCCACTTAAGTGAAGGTAGATTCTCATCCTTCACAAGAACTATGTTGCCAACAGCCAAGCCAGGTTTGGAAGTTCTCCATTTCGCTCGCTGTTGTAACAAGTTGAGATATTCGTCCCGCCAACGAGTCCAGAACACCTGCTGGAGATAGCTTACGCGCTGCCAAGCATCCAAACGATTAAAATTGAGCCCTGTCAGGTTTGGCTCACTGAAGGACGAAGGAGGGCCACCGTTGATGAAATGCGCAGGAGTCAACACGTCTATGTCTGATGGGTGCTCTGAAATCGAAACTAAAGGGCGTGAATTAACGACAGCAGCGATGTTGCAAACCAGTGTGCGAAGCTCATCGTAAGTTAGGACGGAGGACCCAACACATCGGTAAAAATGATGCTTCGCTGTCTTCACTGCAGCCTCCCACAAGCCACCAAAGTGAGGTGATCGTGGAGGGATGAAATGCCATTCGATTGAGTCTGCCAAACAGAAATCCTTCACAGCCTTCTGGTGGGTGTCTGACAGAAATAGACGCTTCAACTCCTGAAGCTGATTGCGGGCACCAAGAAAGTTTGTGGCGTTATCCGACCAGATTTGACTTGGCCTTCCTCTGGTGCATATGAAACGTTGAAGTGCATGCAAAAATGCCGCGGTAGTTAAATCCTTGACTAACTCCAACCAAATAGCCTTCGTAGCAAAACAAATAAACACACAAACGTAGCATTTCACAGGCGCCTTGTTTCGTGACTCAGGCTTGTAAAAGAAGGGTCCGCAAAAGTCGACTCCAGTCACTCCAAAGACCCGATAGCCGTCGACTCGATCCTTGGGTAGATCTGCCATTATGTGTTCAACGAGTCGGGGCCTTGCACGAAAGCAAATTACGCATCTCTGAATTACACTGGCTACAGTTTTTCTACCTCCAATTGGCCAATATTGGGAACGAACCAACGCTAGCACTGCTCGGGGACCAGCGTGCAAGTTTCGCTGATGGAAATGCATTATGATGGCTCTAGTTACTGGATGAACTTTGGGCAAAATAATTGGATGGCGACTATCGAAATTTAAAGTTGAGTTTTTGAGACGACCATCGACACGTAGCAGCCCAATCTCATCAAGGAACGGTGACAGCGAGGCTAGACTGCTGGATGACGGAACCATTCCTTTATTTCGAAGAGCATTTATGTCGTCTGAGAGATGTGTTCGTTGAATCATTCTTAACAGTATATGAGTGCCGTTCCGGATGTCTGCTAGGGTTATTCCTGGACCATGACTTTTTTTAATAAACTTTGATACGTATGCAAACGTACGCTGCAAGCGGCCGAAAGAATTCACAAACTTGCAGTCCATAGAGACATCATGGACTGCGTCCTTTACAAGAAGCACAGTTCTTCGACGCTCAATTGAAGTTCTTTCTGGAAGTGCTGAGACTGGCCACTGAGATCTGGGCTTACAGAGGAAACCTGGACCGTTGAACCAATGTAATGATGCATTTAAATCCGAGGGCAATGCACCCCGAGATAATATATCCGCGGGATTCAGTGTTGTAGGTATATAGTGCCATTCCATTGCTGATGTGAGATCTTGTATCGTGGCGATGCGATTTGAAACAAAAACGTTAAATCGTCCGGGCTCGTCATTGATCCAAGAAAGCGCAACAGTAGAGTCAGACCAACAATGAAACTCGCCTGCGAAAATGCCTAAGCGAGCCACTTCATTCATTAGACGCGCAAGCAACTCTGCCCCGCATAGTTCCAGCTTGGGAACCGTGAGCGTTTTTAGAGGCGCAACTCGAGACTTAGAGCAAAGCAACCTGCTGATGGTATGCTGACCTCTGGATACAATATAAATGCAAGCTCCGTATGCCTCGATGCTGGCATCGCAGAATCCATGGACCTCAACCTTCGATCCTGGTATTAATGATAGCCTGGGAAATGCACTACTAAGACCATTGCCAAAGTTGCTGCAAATGTCTAGCCATGCAGTGTGACATGCAGACGGGAGACTCTCATCCCAATCAAGTTTATGCCTCCAGAGTTGTTGCAAGAAGATTTTAGCTTTCGTTATTACTGGGCCGACCAGGCCGAGGGGATCATAAAACCTAGCAATAGACGAGAGAACAGAGCGCCTGGAGGGCTTAGAGGCTGAATTCAGGGCTAGATATGAGAAAAGAAGTTGATCAGATGCCGGATCCCATGCAAGGCCAAGTGTCTTTGTAATGTCGCTGCCATCATTGAACCTAATGAGCGATTCCTTGTCGCAGTCTGTTACGCCGTCCAGCACCATGGGATGGCTTGAACACCACTTCCTCAATTTAAACTTCCCACATGCCAAGATTCCAGCTGTCTCTCGCATAACAAGTCTTGCTTCTTCGACTGAATTTCCTCCACTAATCAAATCATCAACATAGAAATCGCGAAGCAGTACGTCGGACCCGACTGGGAATGCGTTCCTTTCATCTACGGCAAGCTGATGCATGGCGCGCACAGACAAAAATGACGCTGGTTTTGTTCCATATGTTACCGTATCAAGCCTGAAAACTTCCAACTCATCATCTGGCGAATTCCTCCATAAAATGCATTGTAGATAGCTGTCCGGCTCAGGTACTTTCACGCAACGATACATTTTGCAAATATCGCCGGTGAGTGCAACTGGATAAGATCGGAAGCGCAATAATATGTCGACTAATTTTGGCTGAATGACGGGACCTGACATTAGAATGTCATTCAACGAATGCCCAGTTGTTGTAGATGCAGATCCATCAAAGACGACGCGAAGCTTGGTAGTTGTGCTATCATCCTTCAGAACGCAGTGATGAGGAAGAAAATATCTGCATAGATGGAATGAATTTAGAGGAACGCGTGACATGTGACCAAGTTCAAGATACTCTTTCAGAAATGCTGAGTATTGAGACTTTATATGCGGCAAACGACTCAATTTCTTCTCCAAATTGAGAAACCGATGTCGCGCTTGCTCATAAGAATCTCCAAGAAGCTCACAACTAAGCTTAACAGGCAGGCGTACTGTATATTGGCCACTAGCCAATCGATTGTAATGCCTCGCAAAATGCGCTTCGCAGTCTGAGTCTTCCTTGCTGAACTTTACAATGGAATCGCTGCAGCGCTCAACTTCCCAAAAGCGACGAACGAGACTGTCCAACTTGATATCAGCACAGGTGTCTGTAATCGGATCCAAAGGCGTCTTTGAAGCTATTAGCACGGAGTTGTGGTTGCGAGCCTCGCCACCTGATACAACCCAACCAAGACGAGTCTTCTGTAACAATGGAAGTCCAGGCATCAACTTGATTTGTCCCACACAGAGCAAATCATAAAACAGGCTAGCTCCGATAAGCAGATCTACTCGTTGCGGCCTATGGAAAGCTGGATCTGCCAGCACTATATTTTGCGGTATGCTCCAATTGCTCGTATTCACATTAGAACTGGGCTGCCTGCCAGTTATATTTGTAGCTACCATAGCCGTTATGCTAGTTGTATATTCAGATGCATGAGCTTGAAGAGTGAGGCAAATGCTGCTGCCATCCATGGCAACATTGGAGTCGCCTACGCCGCATACAGATGCCACCGATTTTGTTCTCTTAAGTTGCAG